CACAAGGCTTCCTACAAGTACCGCAAGAGTCGGAGAGTTGGCACCGGGTGCGATCGTTTTTTTAGATGTTTTTTCCTCGGGTTATTCATCGCGCCCCGGTGCCATCTCTCCGATCATGGTGTGGAAATGCAATCAAGTCATTTCGTTTAGAATTTCAAGGCACCCCGGTGCGATCTCTCAGACCGGTGCGATCCCCGATGAAATTAACACACCTGTTGTATATGCACGCACCCCGGTGCCATCTCCCCGACCATTGCCATATAGTATTGACTGCTACCAGCGTAGGTACCCAGGCACGCACACGGTCTTCTCCACACACACGCATATTTGAGCCGCAAAAACAGGCGGCGAAAAAGACTACACACATACACCCCGAATGAAGCGGCGAAACAGCGCATCTGAGGTGGTACCAGTACATAGGGTATAACTTGGTCTTCTTCTACGGATACCAGTACGTACGCAGAAGTACAAGAGCTTCGGGTTGTGTAAGGTGGGGTAGGGTGCGGCTTGTACGTTGTGTGTGTGTTTGGTTGAGTGTACGGTTGGCAACTTCCATACCAATAAAATATATAGTATGAAAACAACTGGCATCCCGCGTTAACCACGACCATCCAATCGTACGTAGGGGAGTGGCGCTCCGCTGACTCCGTCCCGACGTGTAAATGGTACGCACATGAACCTCATTCCGGCAGCTGAAAATGAGATAAATTTTGGATCTGGGGGTCGTAGAGATCGCACCTCGCCGACCCCGATGCGTAAATCGAACTACATGTTTTTTCCTCGGGTTTTTCATCGCACCTTGATGCCATCTCTCCGACCGGTGCCATCTCTCCGACTCTTACGGTACTCCTGAACCAGAAACCATCAACACATGAGGGCGCTGCACTACGTTTCCACCGCATCAACCACACCTAGCTACGGGGGGTGGGTGGGCAGGGGGTAGACAAACAGGCGGGCCGGTGCGACTCCCAAACAGAACACGCACCGAACGGTGGGGAGAGAAGGGACGAAGGCATTGCGTCAATCAGCGGCAGCGACAGACCTGGTTATTTTGGATACTGCACTACAACAGAACAAACGCTGGCTGGTGGCTGTCGCGCAAAACAGCAAGCACAAACATCCCGGCAGTCGTCCCCCCCCGCGCCCTCCGCCCCTGCAGCGCTGTGGCCTCCGACGCGGGGGGGGGGATGTACATGCCTCTTACGATTTTCCGTGGTCGGGACGTCTCTCAACTGTCCCATTGCGAAGCGTGTTTCCCGCCTCATATCTCTGGAGCGCATGGGGCAGTGGGGAATGGGGCGGGCGAACGGAAACAGGAAAGTACCGGGAAAAGTTGGGGGGTGACTGTAGATTGAGGACCGGCTTTGTACAAAGAGAACTGCACACCGCCGGCCCAAGCTACGACAGATAAATAGGATCAACTATCCGATACCCTAGGTGGACGGGTAGTGTTGCACAAATACCCCACGGACAACGATCCGCCAGAAAACTTTCGCAATCACGAAGCATCGGTGGCCTATTCCTACCACGTCCCCGAGCCCACGTCCCCCTCCCAATGAGCCTAGACACAAACAATACATTATTCACCGATATCTTGAACCAACCACGACCCATGCCCATCGAGATATCCAAACGGAGGATTCAAATGATCGCACACGTTATCCCATCTCGTGAGAAAACACAATAAATAGGACGAAAACACACACACACACCGACAACAACGTCGGCGTTTCGGGCAGTACCCCTATTCGCCGGTGTGCGTGCGCATGCGTGTTTGTGTTAACTATGTTGCACCGTCCGCGCTAACCGACCAACCAAAGAAAAGGTACCCCGCCGATTGTTGGGGGGGGGGTGTACTCGTAGTCGTGCATGCCGTAGTCTTTAGACCATTGACCTCGCATCCCTACCAAGCCGGGACGGAGCACGCCGGGTTTTCACCGGACCAGGCTCTCACATCACCAAGCGCGAAGCGCCGTGAGATATTCGGCGAGTCGCATGAAATTGTTGGGGGCTCTAATATTATTTCTCCTCACCGTCTTCATGCAGAAGCATGTTGGGCACGCCTTGTCTCACAGGGAACTTGCGGCCCGTCTCGGGGCAGACAAGCTCGCCCTCTACCAGGTGCACCTTTTGTTCGCGAGAAAAAACAAAGACAACGTTTTGCAAACCCAACAAAAAGAAAAAAAAAAAATCAAGAAACGAGCAGAGTCTCTATGTACAACACAACGAATCTTGAAACAGGTGGTGACGCGCGATTCGTGGCCCCAAAGGGATGGCGGTCGGTTGTGGCCGTTCGTGCGCGCACGAGCTCCAAGTTTTCTTCAACCTCCGATCACTTGTCACAGAAACTTAACGCCTCCTTGTCGCCTATGCAAAAGTGGAAACCTTTCAGGCAATCGCGAACGCGGGAGCTAGAGCGGGAGGGGCAACCGACGGGTGTAGGGAGCGATCGCATCCTCCAACACCAGCGCCTGGTTTTCTCAAACTCGCACGAAATCCCCACACCCAAACCCGTCCCTTTTTTCCGAAAGGTACTTCTCCATGTTGGTACGACCCCGCGCTCACCCACGAGCACGATACAGGGCACATGTCTGCGTGTGCTTATTCTCCATGACAGATACGCAAAACTCCAATCTTGCCGAGTGCCGTTTCACCTCCATGAGGGCATGATGAACTCTTCGCAGCACCTCCTCGTCTCCCATCATCTCCTCTGTAACCTGCGACGTGCGGTACGTCGCATGGGCAAGGCTGCGATTAACAAACCAACACCTAGGGGCGGCAGCGGCAACGGGAGCTTAACCATAACAGAAGCGGCAGCGGCAGCAGCACGGGAACAAGTTCAAAACAAGAGACTGTAAACAAGCACGGAAAGCGGGCGAAACGGGGAACGGCCAGAGAAAGAGAGAGAGAGAGACCCTGCTACTCAACCAAAAAGAATATATGTGAAGAAGGGAGGAAGTTGGCACTCAACCAAAAACATTGAAAATGAAGAAAGCAGGAAGTTCGACGAATGCATCTATTCCTCCTTAGGTGTTTTTGTTCGAGCAAGTATCACCCACGCTCCGCGGTAGTGCAAAAATCAACGGACTCAATCAAACCCAGTCTCCGAAACCTTCACGGTGAAGGCCCCAGCTCATCCTCTCGAGTACTCGCTCGAGCGGGAAGTCCTTCGGACGCCAAGCGTATTTTCTCGAGACGGCAGAACAAGAGCAACCGTTTGCTGCATCGACTTTCATTGGTGTTCAGCTCATGTCATGGGCTACCGGATTTCCTCCCTAGCCTTACACCCACCCCACCTACCCAGATTGGCCACAGGGTTTGTACTCGCGGGTGTGCGCGTGCTGCGTGCTGCATACTTGTCGCTCCATGCCCCCAAGAAGAGCAGGATATCAACAGAGCTACCAACGGCAACACACAGCTGATGCTCGGCATAGGGATGACATCTAGTAGGTGCAACACGCGGTACGTGGTTCCACGACACGACACTTGTTATTACCGCCTCCCGCGGTAACAAAGGGTACAAACGTAGCTACAGCTCAAAGGGGCAACAGCGGAGCTGGAGCCGTTCAAATAACACACACGGTGAGTGGTCGCAGGATCATTCACCCCACGGATGCTGCCGCGCGTAGCAGCAGCAGTAGCCTGCACCACGATGACAGGGCAAACATGCCTCGTTCGCTTGAGGGAGACAGCTCAAGCTCACGCTATTTCCAACGAGAATGGCCAAGAAACAGCAACATACGGGTCTGTCGCTCTAATACAAGGAGAGGTGTCCCCGGTTGGTGGAATTCATAGCGAAACGTGTAGACTGGCGCCCAGAATAGATAGGACTAGATTATTTCGAGAGTATCTACCGCGTGTGTGCTTGACTGTTGTTCACCTCTTCAGGCAATTCCTCCCCGGCCTCGAGAGCAGTCGCGGCCGCCCTGAACGCATCCCATTCCAGCTTGGCCAGCATGTTGCGGATGAAATCTAATTCCGGGACAAAGCGCGTGAGAGCAGAATGTACACGAAACACAATTCTTGATAACAAATGATATGGAGCGTGCCGAGGGATCCAGTAGGCGCGCCTGCTAGGGTGCGCTTGGTATCATCTCTGTTCCCATGCTGCTTTCGCTACCAGTGGTCCTGCGTCGAACACATGTACGTTGTCCGCTGTGTAGTATACTGCCGTAGACTACAAAGTAGTGGCAGCTTCCCATAGTGAAACTCCCGACATCGTGGCATCAGCAGCTCTTGCCACATCTCAACATGCACATGAACACATGAATCCGATATATCGAGTAGTGGCACTGCCCTGAACAGCGGTAGTGCCATATTCTCCCCTTTCCATACATGCCTGAATGTGTATCGGGATGATTACTGCTGTAGTACAGAGTACTGCTGTACATAACGGTCATTCACTCACCCGGATTGAATTCTAGCTCCTGCTCCTCCATCTTGACGACCTCGATACCCAGCGGATAGCCTGACTCGACCCCCTTGATGTTGGACTTAAGCATGTTGTGCGTTATCAGCCGCATCTTCCCCGTGTTCCCAGTTAGCTTGTAGGGTGAACGGAGAAGAGACAGGGTTCTTCCCTGCCTTTCCTTGCAGGCCAGCGGTAGTCCCTCACCTCCAATAGACCTACAAGAGGGAACTCCTAACGTCCAAGACAACGTTATCTCGTACGAGTTGGTGAAATCATGCGGTTTGCCTCTCTCTGGCTCTCCTCTCTCTTCTCCACTCTGTCCTCTCTGTTGGCGGGACTGTGAGTTTCTGCACCCGGCGGGACTGTGTGGCCCGCACGCCGCAAAAACGCCCTGCAAGCCCCGGCTTGGTTGGCTGGCGGTGGAGAGACACAAAGGGCGACCAAGGGCACAAACGCCCCCCGTCCGCGAGTGAAGGCAACCATTAGGAGAGAGAAAGCGAGCTCATCGTTGAGGGTGTCTTTCCTGCGGGTGTGCGGGGGAGAAAATAGATTCGATTTCGATTGCTTGCTGCAGCACACCACGACCACGATGGGGAAAGGCCTTATCACCGATGCCCTGGACGGCGCGGGGGCGGCGGCGGCGGCCTCCCCTGCTGCTGGGCTAACAGCAGCCAAGGTCACGAAGAAGAAGAAGAAAACCAAGAGCGTTGCTGTAGAAGATGAGAGCTCCGCGAAAAAGAAGAAGAAGAAGAAGGCCGCGTCGGAAGGAGACGACGATAAGGTGTGTACGACAACTGCTCACAGCTACAACAGCTGTACGGAGGTCTTGCTTCGTGTAGCGCCTGCAGCGGCTGCTGCTGCTGCTGCTGCTGCTACTGCTGTGCGGCAATGCTTGGTGTTGTTGCGGCAATGTGTGGTGTTGTCTGGGTCTATGTCGTCGTGCTCGCTGCATTGGATAGCAATGACACATGCGGTACGGGCGCGAAATGGGATGTGAACATCGACACATAACTTCTCCACACCAGCATCGACCAAAGAAACCAGGCGTTGCACTGCGCGACCTCGTTAGTCGTGATCATGGGTACTCCTGGGGTTGGCTTCGGTGTTATTGTCTGACTTCAAAGTCAACGGAGTTGTGCGGTTTGCTGGGACTCCCTGAGAGACAACATGGGACAAACCCTTTCGTTCAGTTCACCCTTGGGTTGTTTTGACTGAATTTTGCGTCAACAGCAGGCACTCCGGCACTCAGCGGGTAAACGCGGCAACGATTGATCCATCCCCCGATCTTGCATCAAAATGCTTGCTCTGACTACGTTATGCCGACAAGTCTCGTTGGAAGCTTTTGGAAAAGACGAGGTAGACCACGGCTGTAACCTATACTTTAATTGACAAGGCAAGCTCTCTTGAGCCCTCCAGCATACTGCTGCTGGTATGCACACGTACCTCGAAGTTTACCCGAAGATCATTGCCTCTTGCCCTATTATATAGTTTTTTTTCTGTGCGCAGTACTTGCGCAAGCATTGGTGCTTTGACCCGGTGCTGTAAAACCCGTACTCTGTACCAGGTGTATCCAGAAGTACATATTTAACTTGACATTTTATTTCACTAGGACTATTCATCTTCCGTCTTGGGCCGGCCGCACGACTTTCGTAGCGCCACCGTGGCCACACCGACGTCCAAGTTCCTCGGAGATCAACACCTCCCGATAGCCGTATGTACGCCCCCCCCCAGGGGTGGCGCGCGTGTGTTTTTGTGTTGGGCCGGGGTCGCCGTCGTTTTCCCACACACGCCCCCACGGGTGGGGGATCTGGGCGACGACCTCGGACATGCATTCGTATAATCTATCCGTTCTGCTGTCCAAAATGATTGTTAAGCCGCTATTATATCGTGATGCACATTTATCTAGTTTGAGGCGTTGTCGCCTTTTTATTTTCTTGATCGACGTGAGCGTTGCACGGTGTGTGCTGTAGCACCTAAACGGCCTCGCGTGGGCGCCGGCAGCGGTAGATCTGTTCGAATGCTAAGGCATTTTCTTGATGACCACTTTTCTTCTGAGAGCATGTCCATGTTGTTCACGGGCGGAAACAAGCGTGTTAACGGCCCCGACACGACCAGCATCACTTATCAGCTGCTGCTGCTGCAGCAGCAGCAGCAGCAAAAGGTACACTGCCACCGGCCATGCGTTTCGCGTTGGCTCCTCTCCCTTCCCCTTATCCCTCAGCCTTCCGTCAATAGTATTCTTTTGATCTCTTCATCTCTTGACACGTTCAACCAGTCAATGCCCGTCCCCGCACCCTTTCGCACACCCGAGAACAGGCCAAGACCAAAAAGGTCAAGAAGAAACGGGCTCGGGACGAAGCGGACGACACCGAAGGAGGCGGAAGCGCCGCCGAGGCCACGACGGGGACGATCTCCGCGATGGAGGCGGCAGCAATCGTCTCCAACGGCGCTGCTGCTGCTGCACCGGCGAAGCGCGTGCGGACGCGATCGATGGATGCCGCGGAGGCGGCAGCGGTGGCGGGGGCCGGCGAGGTACGGAAGGGGGAACGACGGTAGTACCTAGATCGATCCAGGGTTGTGCTATACGAAGCATGGGTGGTGTTTTTTGCAGGCAAGTCCCGTAGTATGGGGAGTCTTCAGCGGCGGTGTTTGCCGTCATGATGTCTTGCTCTTCAGCTGTGTATGTAAGGACGCCACAACGTTGAGGCAGTACCCCTATTTGGCGTCCACGGCTTCAGGACGCACGGACGAACTTTCGACGCATAGTGGCGAGTTATCCGCGTGCTCGCCCTTCCCACTCGCACACAGATTTTTCGTTCTTTCCCGTGTCGTTGTTCATCTTCTTTTCAGCCTGCGCTTAGGCCGGTGTATCGTTCACGCGTCGGTGCGTGCGTCGGTGTTTTGTGTCTGTTCATCGTGGAACGTCATCTTAGCAGGCAGCAGCAGCAGCAGCAGGAGTGCAACACCCGAGCATTGACGAGTTTGACATCAGCGATACGACCAAGGGACACCTCCGGAACAGGGGGATCACCACCCTTTTCCCAATCCAGGTGTGTTCCACGCGGTTTTGTGTTGTCCTGGGGGCTTGGCATCGAGTAAGTGTCCCTGAATTAAGGCCAACTAGTGGCAAGGGATTTGACCGGATACGATGCGGCACGCGTGGCATTTTCAGAGTATCAGATCACTTGATTATGTTTATCCTGTGTGTGGTGATTTCATTGGCCTTGTACAAGGGCGACGGGTGTTTTCTTCTGTGACCGTAGTCAGGTAACACTGGGGTGCTTGCCTTTGGTAGGTGTACCCTCTGCACGCCGACAACGCAACACGTACATCGAGCAGTACGGGCACGCCGTCCCTGTCCCGTTTGATTTTGTTGCTTGAGTCGGGGCTGCGGCTGTCTCACTTGGTGTTGAGTTTTTGAAGGCCTCGTGCCGAAAGAGAACATTATCTGTTCTTGTGTGCACTCCTGCCCCCAAAATGGCGTCGGAGGTACCCTACCAAGCCTCTGAACACCGGAAACCGCCGCTACTCGCTAAACACTTATGGAGCCCCCTTGCCCCCCCCGTCCTCCCCGTCCCTCAAGACCAATTGCCCTGCCCTCTCCCCTTGCCCCCGCCAGAAAGGTTTAATCAGCTGCTGCTTTTCTTGAGCTCCCGACCTCTTTCGCTTTCCCCGGCGTGTACATGCAGATGTGAGCTGCCGAACAGGATCCACAGGTTCACCCCACCTAGCACATGTCACTGTTGTTGCACCCCGTGTTCACACATGCTTCAATTATAGGCTCAGACGTTCGAGCACATCTGGAGGGGCAAGGATTTGATTGGCCGAGCCCGCACGGGCATGGGCAAGACGCTCGCCTTCGCCGTGCCCGTGATCGAGAAGCTGCTCATGGCCGGGGCGGGCAGCCTGAAGCCCGGCCGCAAGCCCAGGGTACTGGTAATGGCTCCCACTCGAGAGCTGGCGAAACAGGTGTGTGGGGTTAGTTGTTTGTTCGGACCGTTCACCACATCACACAGTGCGGCTGGTGGTTGGTTGACGTTGGAGCGGACGATGTGGTCATCTGTTCGATCAAGACCTCATCTTGCCACCCCACTGCGTCGGACCGCCGCAACTCCCTCGTACGATTGCGTTGATGCGACTTCGGCCGCTTTAAGCCTCGTTGCCTGCCACTACGGCCGTGCCGATTTGTGTAGCGTAAACGTGCGATCAAGAGCCAACGAACCAACCAACGAACTGTGAATGATACGTTCGATGTGTTGATTGACCGATGGGTGTGCGTGTGCGTATGCGCGTGTTGTCTGGATTGGATGCGACACCCAGGTGGCGGCGGACTTCGAGCTGACGGCGCCATCTCTCAAGACCACGTGTATATACGGAGGGGCTCCATATCGTCCCCAGGTGAAGAGCACACCCCGACGATGGTGTGTTTTTTGTTTGAGCACTGCAAAATCAAAATAGTGGTAAGAGACCAGCACCACCTGCTTCCGATGTGTGTTCTCTTGTAGTCGTGGACGTGGTTCATCTCTTGGGGCAGTTATCTGTGCGCGATAGTTTGTGGCAGTGGTGGAATAGTGGCGCATGGCGCGCCGTGGTATGATAGCCTACGGAGCGCTCGCGAGAGGCATGCTCTTGTGGAGTTGGATGAGCGCCTGTGTGTTACACATGCGCTTCTCGTCCCTTGCTGCGTCCACTCTTATGGATCGGCATTTGCACACGGAGCCACTGCAACACAGGGATCATGTTCACTCGCCCAACGATACAGTCCAGGGCACATCCGCGATCATGATTCATGGAAATTTTTCTCAAGCCTTAACACGAGGACTTTTCATCTTCCGTCTTGGGCCGGCCGCACGACTTTCGTAGCGCCACCGTGGCCACACCGACGTCCAAGTTCCTCGGAGACCAACACCTCCCGATAGCCGCATGTACGCCACCCCCCCCCTCTGGGCGTTGGCGTGCGTGTGTTGTTGTGTTGAGGGCCGAAGTCGCCGTTTATTTTGTCCCACGCGACCCCACGGGTGGGGGGTCTGGCGACGGCCTCGGACATCCATGCCCTAGGATTTTCTCCCCAGTATTCCCGAATTGTTGTTTAGCCCACCATGTTACGCACACCGAAGCTTTGCGCCGCGTGCACGCGCACGCGAAGTTTCCTCCCGCCTTGTTTGTCGCCCATACCGACATCAGTACGTATGTTTCCAGGTATATTAACCCCCATATGTAGGCGCCAACCCCCCTGCCCTCTCCGCTGCGGAACTCCCCCAATATTTGGCCCGAGGAGAGACCCCC